GTAGTATGGGCTGCTTATATATTCTGGAGATCAAGCCTTTGTTGGTTTCATTTGCAAAACTTTTCTCCCATTGTGTAGGTTGTCTTTTTGTTTTACTTATGGTTTCCTTTGCTATGCAGAAGCTTGTAAGTTTAATTAGGTCCCATTTGTTTATTCTTGCTTTTATTTCTATTGCTTGGGTAGACTGCCCTAGGAGAGCATTTCTGAGATGTATGTCAGATAATGTTTTGCCTATATTTTCTTCTAGGAGGTTTATTGTATCTTGTCTTATGTTTCAGTCTTTGATCCATTTTGAGTTTATTTTTGTGTATGGTGTAAGGGAGTTTTCTAGCTTCATTGCTTTACATGCTGCTGTCCAGTTTTCCCAACACCGTTTGCTGAGGAGACTGTCTTTATTTCATTGTATATTCTTGCTTCCTTTGTTGAAGATTAGTTGACCAAAAGTTTGTGGGTTCACTTCTGGGCTCTCTATTCTGTTCCATTGGTCTACTGAATTAAAATAAAGAGGCTGGAGGAATAACTCTCCCAGACTTCAGACAATACCACAGAGCTACAGTAATCAAAGTAGCATGGTATTGGTACAAAAACAGACATTTGTTCCTGATTTAAAAGTCCCAGCTAGAACTAGAAATAATAAACCAGAAATAAAAGGGAACTTCCTCAACCTGAGAAAGGGTTATCTACAAAAACCCTGCAGCTGACATAATTCCTATTGCTGAAAACCTCTATGTTTCCCCCTAAGATCGGCAATGAGGAAAGAACGTCTGATCTCACTATTTAACATTGTACTAAAGTTCTAGCCAATGCAATAACATAAGAAAAAATTAAAAGGCATTCAGATTGGAAAGGAAGAAGAAGTCAATTTATCTTTAATCATAGATGACAAGATCATGTACATAGAAAGTCATAAAGAATTTACAAAGTGTTGCTAGAACCAACAAGTGAGTTAAGCAAGAACACAAGGCTAATGTGCAAAAGAATTAATTATATATCCACAGTCTAGCAATAAACAATCAGATATTGACATTGAAGAAACAACAGCATTTACAATAGCATCAAAAATATGAAATACTTCAAAATAATAAAAGATGTAGGAATCCTGTACACTGGAACTACAGAACATTGCTGTGAGAAAGTAAAGAAGAATTTTTTTAAAAAAAGAAGAGATATACTATGTTCATGAATCAAAAATTCAAACTTTTTAAAAAAATTTGAACTTTTAAATATGTCAGTTCTTTCTCCTTTGATCTATAGAGTCAATGTAATCCATTGAAAATCCTAGTAGCCTTGTTTAGAAATTGACAAACTGATTCTAAAGTTTATGGAAATGTCAAAGACCTAAACTTGCCTTTGAAAAAGAAAAAGCAAAGTTTAGGACTTATACTGCATGAAATCAAGACTTGTTATAAAGCCACAGTAATCAACACAGTGTAGTGTTGGCATGAAGATAGAAATTTAGATTAATGGAACAGAAAGGAGGGTTCAGAAATGGTTCTATGAGTACATTTCCAATTGATATATGACAAAAGGGCCAGGGTATTTCAATGGTGAAAAGTTAATCTTTTCAACCAATGGTGCTGAAATAGTCATCTGTGGTGGACAAAATTCTAAAACTGTCTCCCCCAGATGCAGCATCTGATTATTCAAACAGCAATGTGAGTTATGTTAGAAGGAAGTATGGTCTTGTTATTGTCTTCATTTGGAGACTAATCATGCTTTGAAGAGATGTGTGAGTGTCAAGGTGACAAGGGGCGGACTTGTGATGCTTCATGTTATGTGTTCACTTGGCTGGGCCATGGTGCTCAAATGTCTGGTCAAACATTATGCTGGATGTTTCTGTGGGTGTGTTTTGGGATGAGATTTGCATTTGAATTAGTGGGCTCTCAGTAAAAACGGTTGTCCTTCATAATGTGGATGGATCTCATCCTATTAGTTGAAGTCCTGATGTTTTGGACTGAATGCTTGTGTTCTCCCCAAAATACACATGTGGAGGCCCTAACTTCCAATGTGATGGTCCTAGAGGTGGGGCCATTGGTAGGTAGTTAGATTTGGATTATCCCATGATGAGATTTAGAAGAGGAGAAAGAGACATGAGAGTTTTCTTTCTTCCATAAGTGAGGATCAAGCAAGTATATAGTCATCTACAAGCCAGGAAGAGAGCCTTCCCCTGGAGCCCCACCATGCTAGCACCTCAGACTTCTAGCCTCCAGAACTGTGAGAAATAAAGATTCATTTTTTAAGGCACCCCCATCTATAGTATTTTATTATAGCAGCAGAGCAGACTAGGACACCTGACTAGAACAAAAGACTGACTTTCCTGAGCAACAAGGAATTCTGCCAGCAGATGGCCTCTGGACTTGAACTACAGCATCAGCTCTTGGGTGGGTCTCCAGCTTGCCAACCTACCCTGAAGATATTGGACTTACCAACCTCCATGATCATGTGTGCCAACTCCTTAAAATAAATCTCTCTGTATATACACATCCTATTGACTCTGCGTCTCTGGAGAACTCTGACTAATGCAATCACTTTGAAGAACAGTTGTGGTGCTTTCTTAGAAAGTTAAACATTCACCTTTCACAAGACTCAGGCGTTCCGTTTACCTAAGAGAAATAAAGCATGTGTTCATACAAGGACTTGTTCATGGAGGCTGAGAGCATCTTTATTACTAATAGCTCCAAAACGGGACACTTCAAAATGTTCCTCAATAGCTGAATTAATAAACTGTGGCATATCCATATAATGGAGTCACACTTAGCAATAAGGAAGAAATATTGATATACACAATATGATAAATCTCCAGTAATTGTGCTGAGTTAAAGAAGCTAGTAAAAAACAGTATTTATTTTATGATTTCTTTTATTAAAAACTCTAGAAAATGCAAACTTATCTTTGGGTCAGAAAGTAGTTCAGTGGTTGCCTGGAGAGGGGAGTGAGGATGGAGTTTCTAAAGGAGCATGAGGAAGCTTTTGGAAGTGATGGATATGTTCATTATCTTGATTGTGGCAATGATTTCAACAAGCATTTGTCAAGGGTTGCTGTCCATCAGCCAGATAAGATGAGAATCAGCAAAAATGGATCAAGATGAAAGGAAGGATAAGAGAATGGGGATAAGAAAGGGATGGAGGCAAGGAAAGAGAGAAGGAAGGAAGGAATGAAGGAAGGAAGGAAGGAAAGAAGGAAGGAAGGAGGGAGGGAGTTAGCCAGATCACATCCTCAAGGATTTTAAATAATAATTTAAACATAAGAAAGTGCACTTCTGGTAGGGCTAGGGGCAGTGGGCAGAGATATACAGTCTGAAGGCCCAGGGTCTAGGTGGATGTGGCTGACTGGGGACTGGTTGGTTGTGGATCTCAGTTTCCTACATGCTTGCACAGCAGTTCATCTCCTTCAGGGTCCACGTCTGAAGGACAGTTGGGGAAATTCACTCTAATCATGTGTAGAGTCAGGAATGACCTCTAACACTGGGAGATGATGGAGAAAGTGGGAGGCTACAAGGGGAGTTCGGTCAGTCTTCCTTGGAATGTCCTTGGAGATGCTGAATGATACCTTAGGAGAAAAACTTTGTGGACACTGAGATCATAGAATAATGACCACGCATTCCAGATGCCTACCCACAGTGGGTATTCCCAGTGACCCGAGGAGAAATGACTCACATTGGGACAACACAGAGAGAACATCTCAGTTACAGCATTTTATGACTATGACCACTTATAAATGTATTTAACTTATTGGAAATAGAACAGTATGGCTCCCCAAAAGATAATTCTTTGCTTTCAAAAACATGAATTTGCTTTTTTTCCCCTCAAGATGCCAAAGAGGTACATTCTGAGTCATGGACTTAAGGCAGGATGTTGTGGACTAAATGTGTGTTGAGGCCCTATCTTCCAATTTAGAGGTGGGGTCTTAGGGAGGTAATTAGGTCACGGGGTGGGGCCCTCATGCTGGGATTAGTGCCCTTACAAGAACCAAGGAGAGAGTTCTCCCCAGGAACTGAATCCGTCTGCTCCTTGATCCAGGACTTCCAGCCTCCAGAATTGTGAGCGATAAGTGTCTGCTATTTAAGTCCCCACTCCACCCCGCCTATGACATTTCGTTCCTGCAGCCCAGCAGACTAAGACATAGGACTGCTGCAATTAATTCATTAACAATGCAACTGGAATCTCTGTAAACATCACAGCTCAACCCGGCTGCCCAGAAGACAGAATGACAGGAGATAAGTGTTCGAGCTCTGACTCTCCAGCTAACGTGTGACTTCAGGCGAGGCTTCACTCTTGTGACTAAGTGTTCTCAGCTATAAAATGCGGGGTTGCATTTCCATGCCTTGGCCCCTCTGGCTCCTAGGGAATGGTCAGACTTCCCTTCTTTTCGTTGTTGGTTGAGTTGCCATGAGCTCTATTTCTTCTCAGCCTAAAGAGGGGACAGATAGACAGGATAGCTCCAGGTCTCTGTTTCCAGAGAGTTCTCATCTATCTGCACGTTTTATGTGATTTCTTCCCTTGAAGAACAAATTTTCTTGATGTCGTGGCTGATTGAAACAGCCTGGGCTTTGGAGCAGTAATGAGTGATTAACGTGTGACGCGCCCTAGGGCGAGTTCAGCTGCCAGATGACTAGTTTTCAGTTCTTGAAGTGCTACCCTATTAGGGCTCATTCAACAACACCTGTCACCTCCGCGGCGATTTAGAGCTGTTTGTGGAGAGGTGTGCCAGAAACAGGTGTTGAGGCCTCCCCTGTCGTCACAGGTAGGTGGGCAAGACCAGTTAGGCAGTGCCAGGTCATTTGTGTGTGTGGTGATTCCAGCTCCCCTTCGAACAGCTGTCCAGGGGAAGGAGAGATGGACACTAGAGGGGTCTGGCTGTCTGGGTGAGTGGAGGAAGGTGGGGCGTTTCATGGAATTTCACAGTCCCCTTGGCAGGCTCGCCCAGAGCCATCAGGCTGATCTCATCCATCTTGATGTTGTTTCTCTCAGCAAGCAGTAGCCTCAGCTTTCCGTGGCTTGCGGTTTCTGTGAGCTGGGAATGAATTCCTTGACTCTGAGTGAAGGTGTCCAACTGGAAACAGAAAAAAAAAATTTAGTCCACAAAGGCATTTTGTCATCAGGGAGTGCCCCAAATTTGGAAGAGTCCGATGGTTAAAGGTCATTTTGGAAACCAGCATGGAGCCAGAGGTGTGATTAGTTAGCCACTCAGGCATTCTTGTAAGCAGCATTTATTAAGCATTTGCTGTGTACTGGGCCCTTTGCTAGGTGTGTCAGATACCGGATGAACAAACACGGTTCTTCTTTTCAAGAGAGTCACGTGCTAGCAAGAGAGGTGAAAGCATGAACTGTCAGATGTAATCACATGAAATTGCAGACATTCGACCACTTTGGCCTATTAAAAACCAGCAATTTCTAGGATTTGGGGTTAACAGATAGACACTACTATATATAAAATAGATAAACAACAAGGACCTCCTGTAGAGCACAGGGAGCTATATTCGATTTCTTGTAATGAGGGAAAAGAATCTGAAAATTGTGTGTGTGTGTATAACTGAATCGCTTCGCTGTACACCTGAAACTAACACTGTAAATCAAATGCATTTCAATAAAAAATAAAAGTAAAAAGAACCCCAGAGATGTCATATGGTTCAATCACATGCTATCATGTCTTGTGTATAACATGCTATGGGCGCAGAGAGGAGGGCGGGATTAATTAAAATGCCTGATCGTGGTCAAAAAGCTTTACTGAGGAGATAACATTTAACCTTGGCCTGAAAGGGGAACAAGATTTTGACAACTTTGCACAAGGCGAGGAGATGCTGTGAAAGCTTACCGAGCCTCTGCCACGTGCAGGATGGCGTCGCGGGCGGGGGAGACGGTGTTCCGCCTGCTCGGCTGAGAGTCTGTCTTCCTGAGATTTACATTCCAAAGAGGGCGGCAGATCCTAAGAATAAACACCCAATTAATTATTCAGCTTCAGTTCTGATGGGTGCTCGGAAGAAGCGAGTGTGCTGAGAGAGAGTAATGGGGGTCTGGCCCGCCCTGTGTGCCCCGAGGTAAGACAGGATGGGCCCTGGGAGCTGTGGGCGGAGGGGAGCCTTCAGGACAGAAGACTCGCACATGCGAGGGCCCCCAGCAGCCGAGGCAGCAGCATGTCACTCCCCTTAGATTTTAATGCCCCATAGAGTCTGCTTCTCTCTGATAAGGTCCATTTCAGGGTCTCTGGGACTTGGTCATTACACAGCGGGAGATCTGGGCTGTGAGGTTAGGGTGACTGGGGTGGAGGTGTTTAAGCTAGGTGCTATCTGCGTGGAAGCAAAATTAATTACTAAAATAAAAATTGAATGAAAATAAAAGCAAAGCCAATAAGGAGATTGATTCATTTTTTTCCCCAATTGTTCTAGAGTTTTCAGCCTCCTCTTCGGATTCCTGCTGCTTCTCCTCGGGCCTGAGAAGAAGGAGGTTATGGCTTGTCGGGAGGTTTCACCTGAAAGCGTGTCGGGGTGGCCCACTGGCGCGGGGCACCAGCAGCTTCCAGCACCTCCCGTGTGGACACGTGTGACCGTCCGGAAGGCTCAGCCCCTGCCACAGGCTTAACCAAGGACTCCAGACGGATGGAGAGCCCCAGGGTCCGACCACCACGGACACAGCCGGGACTGGCCTGGGCTGCTGGCCGAGGTGAGGGCAGGGGCGGGGGGGTGGGTACTGGAGGCGGGAGCTGTGGCCACCTGAGAGTCCCTGTGCGACTTCCCGCCCTTCTTCACTTTGTCTCCTCCATGCTGGGCATTGTTGTCCATTCAACACTCCCTGGAGCCTCTCTCTGCAGCATAATTCTGTACGTGTAATGAACTTTTCTTCATTTAAGTAAATAAATGTTTGAAAAAGCCCATGTTTACAGTTATGAATACAACGTTTTAAAATGGAGGCTGTTGTTTAAGCTTGTGCTGTCATAGGTGTTGGTCAAAATTTCTCATCTGCAGCTTTAGCCCTTGGTGGACGTCATCGGGCACCCCGCCCAGGGGCAGAGCCACCTCAGACCGATTAGCCAGGTCAGACTGCTCCTGCCAGAAAAAGCCTGCCTTCACTGTGAGCCCTGGATCAGGCTTCCGGGCCTCTCGTGACAGTGTCTCAGGTCAGAACCCTGACTCTCATGTCGGCATAAGTAGCCTTCGTCCGACCTTGTCGCCTGGTCAGTGAGGCGTCTCCACCTCCGGCATTTCCTGAGGACATGTCGCTCTGACCTGGTCGGGGGCGCCCCGGAAGGAGAGGTGGGTTCTAGAACCACCTCTGTGCGGGGCCCTGGGCGGTTTCCCCCTGGTGAGCGACAGGGTGGGTGAGGGGTATGCTGGTTCTTTAATAAAAGGGGGAGAAGAAAGGCTGGGATATGTTCTTAGGCAGAAAAAAAAAGCACAAATTTAAGTTGAGCATCTGAAAATTAATTTCCTTAAAACTGTCGATGCCTGAATAGCCCCAAACATGTTCATGTTCCCCTTTTTAAGAATACTGATTGAAAAGCAACTCTTATTGGCAAACTTTCCCCTAGAGCCCTCAATTCATGCCGTGTTTAGAGCACAGCCGCTCATCTCACCCCCAAGTTCACTGAACCCACGTCTCTCCATCTAGAAGAGCGTCTGCTTAGAGGAGGGTGAGCGTCCGAGGTGAAGCCACCCCACGCCCCCCGGCTGCAGCCTCCTGAACCCCGCACGCAGACCGATGGACCAGCCTCGGGGAAGTCCTGTCGGGGAGCAGGTAGGGTTAACGGGCCTCTCTGTCTCCATGGCAACAAAACAAACGGTGTGTTTTATGGAGTCAGTTTTGCTATGGCTGAAAGAATTTCAACCTGCCCAACGCTGATTTTATAGGCCTAGAAACCAAAGCCAGAGAGATGGTGTGTGTCAGGGGGTCGACGTTCCCCAAACCTGATCTTTAGGAAGTAGCGGAACTGGGCGATTCCCCAAACCAGGGCCACTGGGGTGAACGGAGGGCCGGCTGGCATCATAAAGATACAGCGAATGGGTTCACTGACCGCATCCTTGCACGTTTTCCTCTCCGCCCTGGGGTCTTTGGGAAAGTTGTGATTTCTTCATCTTGGAAGCCGGATGGTCACCCGGCTCCCTGGAATTTTCAGAGGAATCACCACTAGAGATGACGGGAAGGTATTTTTGGCTATGACCTTCCCCAGAATCAGTATTTCAGAATCTCTGTCACCTCCCAAGTGGCGCCTGGGTCCCCAGGATTTGTACTGGACTTGGGCTGGGCAGGATGAAACGAGTGCTTCAGACCGCAGGTGTTCCCAGCAGAGTTTCTTTGAAAACTTGAGCAAAGTTGGCCTCATCTCTGGGGCTTTCCTCATTTAATTCAGACTTGATGGCTTGTTCCCCACTTTGCACCTGCTGGAAATTCCAGAGGAGCAACAACAGCCCAGCCACGAGCAATCCCCAATTAAAGAGCCCGGTCAGCTGCACTTGACGCAGGTGCAGGACGGCCTTCTGTGATTCTGGGGGAAGGCAACCCAAATACCTGTGCTGACCGGGGCTCCAGAGACTCGGGGAAGCATGGTCCTGGAGCCTCTTGCTTGGACCTCATCAGCGCACAATCCCGCTGTCTGAAATGACCCTGAGATGCGTTTGCAGACGTCAGCGTAATGACGCATCCTAAGCTTAGTCTGTGGGGTGTGCAGATGAATCAAATCTCTAGAGCTGGAGAAAAGCAGAGAAATGAATTATTGGTGAATTTAGGAAGAATACAGAGCTCATCAGTATAATCAGAAAGCATTTTGGCACCCAAATTAGCCACCTCATCTCCTGAATCCATTGAGTAATAACTTCTCTTCATTTTAGAAGTGCCTGTAATAAACCCTTTAAAAATAAATTCAAGTAACTTTGCATAAATATAAGAATCCAAATGGATATGAAACTTAATTATTTAGAGTCTAAAAATATTAGAAAGAGTAGGGTTGCTAGAAATGGAGATAATATATGTACCACATAGGATTCTGGTGCAGATGAAATGTTGCAATGACCATGAAGCATTAGACACAGCTCTGATTTTGTCAAATTCAGCCTGTCATTTTATAGACAGAGGACCTGAGGCCTGGAGAAGCTGCCTTGTCTGCAGTCAGAGCCCTGAGCTGACACCCAACATAGAATCCTTTCCACCTCACGTGCCCCCAGTGCCCAGCAAGTGTAAATCAGCACATTTTGGCTCAACTCCTTAAGCCCTAGACGACACTGAGGGGGGTGAGATTTCTCAGACTCCTGGTACGTCTGTCACAAAAGTTGCTTGAGGGTTTGATTTCCTCCGCACCTTCTGCCTTTGTGTTGGTGAGAAGCTGCCTTCATGCCAGCCAGGGGCCTGATTAGAGAAGGAGCTGGCTTAGGGATATGAGACGTGCTTGACACACGTGTCAGGGTCCTTCTGGAAGGAGAATTGGGAAGAAGGCCTTATAAGAGGTGATGCTTTAAAAAAAATGTGGAGCCTTCTCTCTTTTACCCCAACTTTCCAGAAACTTTGCCTACAATGGATATTTATTTTGGCCTTTCTCAGAATCATTGATGCCCGTTTTATATTAGAATTAAGAGGAGCCAGCAAAGGGGAGAATATTGATTGTGAAAGTGTGGGGTTGACTGGCCAAGCCCATCCTGCTGGGATTTCCACCTGGGGCTCAGTAACTGACAGAAGCAGGTTAGATCACTCAACTCATATGCTATTACAACTTTGCGTAATAACACGTAAATCCTATAACGTCTCTTTACCCTAAAGCCATAAAACTCTGATTCTATAAATGCATTTTTTCGTAAACATAATTAGAATACCTTATTGCTAATAAATTCCCTCAAATTCACTCCCTTAAAATTGGTATGTCTTTCTTCCTGTTAATGGATTTGACCATTTTCACAACTTTAGATCCTTTCTACTCTAGTTTATATTTAGCGGCTAGGTAAAAAATTCCTTTATTCCTTTATGTTAGCTATTTCTTCTTTCTTTCTTTGTTCCCACAGTACTATTCTAGATTTAAAAACATACATTTTGAGGGGATTGGAGAAGGAAGGCCGAAAAGTGTGCTTGTCCCACCAGACTTACCCAGTCGTGCACATTTATTCTTCACAGTGTGGCATCCCGTCTTTTGAGATATATGTGTGTGCATTATGGTCTAGGTCTGTATCTGTACATGTGAAAGCTGTGATTTGTCAGCTTTTAAAAAAAACAGATGGATAAATTGTGTGCATTCATAATTTTGCCCTACACATTTTTTTTTCCGGGTGTCAGCTAAGGCCACCCTGCCTCTTTTGCAACTGGGTACAACTAGTAGGGACTTCCTAACCCCACTGCCTGTGGACTTCCACAGTGATCCCCAGCGTTTCCCCAGCATCTCTCTGGATTTCTGGGGACTGAGCAGAGTGGAGTCTGTGCTCTAAGGCCTCTTCTGATCCTGCCACTCCCTTCCTTCCTGTAATGTCTCCATTTACAGCCCATAAAATGCTGCCTGTTCTGTTATCAAATGGACCAAAAACCTCCACTTAGAAAAATAAAAGTGAAGACCTTCTCGGGATGCATCTGTGTTGAAATGAGACCCTGACAGCAAGCACAGCTTCCTAGCAGTACTGCTGGCGTTGAGTCACGTGGGTAAGAGAAAACCGTTCCTACCGTTTACTGAAACAGTGCAGACTCACTGCAGCTCCTGCCAGACATGCTAGCTAGGCATCACAGAAAACCCCGAAGCCCCCAGGTGAAGGCGATGGTGAGAGGCAAATATTCTGAGGCAAAAGGCTGGATTAAACAAGGAATGGGCAGACCATGGAGGCGGCAAACTGGCCCCTTTCTCTCCTGTCCTGAGCTGACAGAAAGGTACGCTATCACCAGCTACAGGAGTTCCTCAGGGACTGTAAAGTAAAGAGATGACTTCAGGTAACTAGAAGTTAGTAGGATTTTCTAAGGCAGTTGAGAGATAGGAGCAGATTTAAGTGAGAAGCCAGAGCCCCCAACATTTTGAGGGGTGGTCTATATGGCGCCCGGGGCAGAGGCGGCAGCCAGCTCGAGGAGCAGGTCCTGAGCCCCACACCTGGTGATGCCCGCGGGTCGGCCCGGCGAGTTTACTGAGACACCCCAGCAGACCCCTGGAGAGATGGGCACACAGGGTCCCAGGTGGACAGGCTCGAGTTGTGAGAAGGTGAATCCTCCACCATGCATACCACGGGCACATCTCCGCAGCAGTTCTAAAAATGAGGCAGATACCACGTGTAGGCAAGGAGGGATCGCGTCAACACATCTGCAGCACGATCGGCCAGTCTGCACGTCCGTCTCGCATCCGCGTGCGTGTACAGACACGCGTCAGAAGCGGACGGGGACTGGGCGGGCTTGTCAAGTGGGACTTAAGCTGTACCTACTTTTTAAAAAATGTTTTAAAGTTTATATTGACAATTTAAACATAGGATTGCAAATCTTAAGGGGAAATTTTTCTCCAGGTTTTTAAGAAAGAAGGAATCACATTCAGTTGGTGGGATCCGAGCTTCACGCAGGAGGCTGGGTTCTCGCTAGGTCATGAAAGCAGGGAAGGGACCAGGAGGAGCCTGAGGGGGCGGGTGGAGATGAGGCCATTCTGGCCGGAGCTGTTAGGATGTGCTGAGCCAGCCAGGAACTCAATCCGTGAAGGAATATGGCAGCAACGTAGACTGAGGAGGACTTGGGTGCCAGATTTGGTCATTTTCACTATCTTCTGTGCAAAAGGAGAGTTGAGATTTTTGAGCAAGGTGGCAGCATTATCCTAGTTGCGGTGCATGAATGCTACTCTGGGTCCCGCGGGCTGCAGACCGAAGAAAAACTCTAAATGTGGGGAGCATATAGCTCAGTGGTAGAGCGCATGCTTAGCATGCACGAGGTCCTGGGTTCAGTCCCCAGTACAGTACCTCCATTAAAAATAAAAAATAATAAATAAATAAAATGAATTACCTCCCTCCCCTCCAAAAACCTCTTGAGTGGGAGCTAGTAAAAGGCTGATGCAGCAGTTTGGTACAAACCTCCTAAGGCCTTGCTCTCTGAGGTGCCAACAGGAATAAGGAAGGAGGGGAGACATTTGCAAAAGCCTCAGGTGATGCTCGGCCCCCGGTTGGAGGAAGAGAGTGACAGAATGGAGAAAGGACGCAGGGGACACAGCGCAGTCCAACCCTGCAGCTGCCTCTGGGAGGTGACGGCAGAGATGTTCCCCGAATATAATTACTGGGAGGTGGGGGGGACCTTTGACGGAGCAGTTCCAGGAGGCGGGGGTGTCAGGATGCAGAGCTGGGGGAGGAGGGTGCAGCCAGGGTGCAGTGGGCTGGCCGCGCTGTTTAGGAACTTGGTAGGAGTGGGAAGGAAACTGGAGGGAAAAGCTGTTAGAGGAATAGTCTTATTACTAAGAAAAGTCTCTCCTTTCTGAAAGACACTTGACCTCCAAGCCAACCCACCCTCCCAGTCTCCTTCTTACCTCACTGTCCACTCCATTGCTCCCAGAAAAAAAGCTCAGGCTGCAAGAGGCAGTTGGAGGGTTGGTGTGACGTTGCAAATTCTCCCAAACCTGACCCCCCAGCTTCCAGTCTGGTCCTCAGACAGTTCCCGGGCAAGATGGGACCGGAGATTGCTGAGGAGACCTGGAAGGCGGGGTGGAGGGGATGAGCTCTGCGTTCCCGGACTGCCTCCTTTCTCCTCCTGGGGACCCCCTCCCCTGCCTCCCCTGCCAAAAAAGTATCCTCAGTGCAGCTTCCAGTGAGTCAGCTGTTCAGAGCACAAAACGACTTCAGTGTTAGAAAGTACAATAAACTAGAGTAAAATAAAATAAAATGTTGGATTGAGAGTTTAGGGTGCGGGCATTCGGACTTAAGATTGATATCTCGAATTTCTTACGACATCCTTACAATATCCAAAGCTAGAATCCAGGCCCTGGGGAGCTAATCACAGTGACGAGAGGCACTTAGTTGCTCGTTCTGAACCGTGTTGAACAGTGCAGCAAGGTTGGAAAGCGTGACTTTTCTTTTTGGAGCAGTGAAGCAGCTCCTTTGTTGTGAGTGGGTTGAGGGCTACAAAGTAGCTAGTCGAATTGTATGAGCAGGACTCATTTTAAAATAGCGTGACTGCCCTGAACCCAGGTCTAGTGGCATCGTAGGAAGAAGCAGAGGAATCATATTGTTAGCTTTTCTAAAGCAAGAGGCAGCTGCTGGCTCATGGAGTTTGAGACGGAACCAGAGCTGCCCACGTCGAGGGCCCTGTGGTGGGGCTGAGGGTGAAGGCTGATTTCACCACATCTCCTTCTTCAGCCACCTGCCTGCCAAAAACCGCAAAGAAAGGAGGCGAGTGAGAAACGACTGGGCACAGCCTCCTCTCCGGTCAGCGTTCGGGGAGAATGGGCGAGGACCGAGATCTCTCTGGATGCCTCTCTGTCCCTCCCTTAAGATTCAGGTCCTAAGAGCTCAGAGTTCCCTGTAGAGTGGATTTGTTTGGTTTTGTTTTTGTGCCAACAATAAGAAATACTGATGTACAAATTACACGAAGTGTGGGGCAGGGGGAGATTCCTCAGCTTTCCTCCCCGCCGGTCCTCCATCCTCTTGTCTCCGGCTGGAGCCCCCAGGGCTGAACCCAGCCGGAACCCAGCTGCCACGGGAGTGTAAGGGACACAGGCTGCGAGGGTCGCCCCGGGAGAGGGAGCAGGAATGCCGAGCTGGCAGACAGGCCCGGGACTGGCCCAAAGACGCACGGCGTCCTCATTTAAGCTCATTTAGCACCATTTAGCTAATTTGCATTTTCAGCCAGCTCTTACGGCTGCCCTTCTCTTCTCCACCCTAGGGCTCTCCCCTCCGCTGCCTCATTTGCCTTCTACTGCTGATCCTTTCAAGATTTCTTGGTTAACGAAGCAAAGCCCTTGTCTTCTGGGACGCAGGCTCATTTCTCAATTTCTGGGGAAAGCGCTTCGTGGGAAACTGAGGGATGGAGAGAGGATGCAGGTGAGCAGACGGGGGTGGGGGGGCGCCTCCCCCCAAGGAGCCGTGCTGGCGGTCGGCTCGGGTCAGGCTGACTCAGGAGGTGGACCCGGAGAAGCCGAGGGAGGAAGAGGGGTCAGCAAAGGAGGCTTCATCAAAACTGCAGAGAGAAGGAGCCTGTCTCCCTTCGGCCCGTCCTTCTGGGGAGCCCAGTGCCCACCGCTGTCCCGTCAGCCCGCCTCCCTCAGCCCTCTCACACAGAAGCCCAAAGCCAAGCCCAGGCCGGACTGCAGACGAACACAAGCCAAACCTCTCCGTTCAGCACAGACGAGACCCTTGGAGCCTCACCATGAATTCAGTTCCTATTTCTCTCCCAGGGAAACTTGCCTCTAACGTTTCATCTCAAAGTAAGAAATTAAACGCCTTATACGCTGTTAAAGAAATGCTAGGTGTGGGGAGTCTGTTTCACCCCTGAAAGCGTAGGAGATGCTTGTCTGCGGGGCAGGTCAGCTGAGAGGGGGCGATGCTGACCGTCCCGGGAGCGGGAGGCGGGCAGGGTGGGGAAGTCCTGCTGTGAACCACGCACCCTGCTCTCTGGCCTCCTGGGTGTAAGTCAGAGGTCTCATGAGATCTAAGAACCAGTGGAGCAGGGTTTCTGCACAGCACGAGGGAATGAGGGCAGCAAAGCCTTGGTGAGACTTAGGTGAGGTGCAGCCGGCTAGAAACCGTGCTGCTCAGGGCGCCCAGCGCGTGGAGTTTATCCTGCAGACCAGAGTGGGCGCTGGAGCCAAGGAGGGCGGAGGGGGAAAACAGAGGAGCAGACTGATAAGGTTATATAAAGAAAAACAGCAGAGGAAAACATCGCCTAATCCAAGAAGGGTACACTTACATTTTGATTTCGTGTAACACCCTTCCCGCTCCCCAGGCAGAGCTCCCGGCCTCCCCCGCGCTGTGTGATACCAGGCAGGGCGAAATCCCTGCGCCCTGGTCAGAACAGCGCTCAGACAAACATCTGTCCAGATCTGCTGCCTCTCCTTAACACAGGGGCCAGCTCAGCAATCCAGGGCCGTGTGCAGAAAGCTGCTGACAGGCTCTGTGAGGAAAGACAGAAAGTCCTCCCTCTGGTAGAAGGGGGCCCGCGGCCTCCAGCCTGGGCTGCAGAGCATCTTCTGGGGGGGCGGGCAGCAGGTCGGGGTTAGGAGTGAGGGGTGAGGACCTTAAACTCCAAGGGCCTGCCCACTCTCCCCCAGCTCCCCAGAGGACAGGGGGTCCCAGGAGGTTCTTGCTACAGGAAGTGGCAATGGTGGGGGTTGTCGAGGGAGGCCAGCCTGGCTGCCTGGGTCCCAGTTGGAGCAAGAAACAAATTCTCCTCAAGTTATGAGTGAACCACTCAGTCTCCATTTTGGGAAGTGAGAATGTGTGTTGCACCCAGCGAGGGGGGCTATCAGGCCCAGACTCCACCCCAAACATCAGTAGAAGCTTCCAGCTCCCCATGACACCTGCTGCCCACCTCCGCTGTGTGTGCTGAATCCCAGAGCCTTGCAGAGACGCTCGGAGGCTTTCCTGTGCTACGTCCATCCAATAAGCCCTCATTCCCAGAGGGAGTCCAAGCATGAGTTTTAAGTCCACAAATACGATCGTTTAAAAAAATTTCCACTGTGAGGTGGCGCTCAACTCCTGTGGCTTCTGGAGACTGCCTTCTGTCTAGATGCCTGGCTTGTGAACGTATCTGTACCAGCTTCTAAAATGCTTTCTTTGCTTCAACACCGTAAACCTTTTCTTCAGTGTAACAGCTCCAAGCAGCTGGAGCAGAAACACTGCGGAGCTCTCCAGGGCGTCCCAAAGAACGGCCGTCTCGCGGGCCTGGAGCCCTGGACCGGCCAATGCCCTGCCCGGCCCGCTCTGTCTTGAGAGCCCACGGAGCGAGTGTCTCCCCTCAGCCGGGCAGCAGCCTCCCCCGTGGCGGCGAGGAAGGGCCTGACGTTTGCAGTCTTGACCTTTGTTTGCCTTGACATGACTTACCACTCGTGCTTTGGGAGGAAAGCGGTCCTGGTGAGAAAGGCAGCCGTGGACGCTGGAGCGACTTTCTCTGAGGGCTTGCCGGGCTCCGTGTCGCCGCTGGCTCGTGCGCTGCCAGGTCCCCGGCGTTCTCGCCTCTGCTGCTTCCTTTTATTTCCGTTCTTGGGAACATGTACAAATTTTGGCCATATTTATACAGTGTACGAATCATGCTTTAGGTGATAATTCTAAGACGTGACTAGAAGACTAAAAATAGCAAAGAAATGCCAATTAAGCACAAGCAGTGGGCTTTAGACGGGCCAGGAGAGGGGCTTCTGACGAAATTCATGCGTTCCCTTGTTTCCACTCACCCCGAGATTTCCAGGGGGAGGCGGTAGGGGAGGGGGTTGGAAGTAAGCGTGTGCCTTTTAAATGAAGAATCTACTAAAAAAGAAGCTATTTTTCTTTAAGTCTAATTGGTCGGCCCTAGAGGAAGGATCTATGTTCGTATGCATTGTGCAGAAAGGGATCTTAAACAACAGAGAGGCAGCGTGAGACAGCAGAGACTGAGATCATCATTCAGAGAAGAAAAGGCTTTCCTGGGGGGGCCCGCGTGCACTGCAAACTCCCCGTCACAAGAACGTCCTTCTGTGTCCTGGAAGCCTCAGGTGAATGCACTTGGAGGCATTTATTCATTACAGTTAATGAATAGTCCATTGCCTGCCTTCCCGTGATGGCAGCAGGGATCTGCCCCGCCGTGAGGCCACGCCTGGCGGGGTTTCCAGCTTGATTACGTGGAGCAGGGTTCTTAGCCTCAGCACTAGTGACGTTTTGAACCGGTCATTTGTTGCAAGGGGTGGGGGAGGGCTTTCTTGTGCACTGTTGGATGTTTATCAGCATCCTTGACTGTCCATGAGGTGCCACTGCCACCCTCTCCTAGTCGTGCCACCAAAAAGGTTTCCAGACATTGTCCAGTGTTCCCTGAGGGACAAAACCCCTCCTCTCCCCCATGCTGAGAACCAGTGGTGTAGAGGAATGACGTCTTATTTCCTGTGCTCCTCAACAATTAAGTCAGCTCTCTGGGGAGCCCTGAGGGACACAGGACGTCATTCCCAATCATGCAGATCGCCAGCAGGCTGATGGAGTGAAGTGCTGACCGCGTGTGTGTCCGGAGTTAATGATTCCAGGCTGCAGGGGTGAAAGGTCCCTGTGACAGCAGTCACTCCCCGCCCCACCCCCAAGCACCTGGGTTCCCCATGAGCAAACCTCGTCAAGTGCTGAGTGGGCCAGATCCTGCTGAGGCTGTGAGAAAATAGGAATTCTGGATTGCGAACATTAAAACAAGTCTTTGGCCGCAGGCAGCGACCAGGGCAGCGGTGAATAATGACGCGTCTCCCTAGAAGAGCCCCTCGTATTTCCGTCTGAAAGCAATCTTTGCGTGCTGAGGCGGAGACACGGGGGGACGTGTTGTCTACATGCAGGGTGCTCCCCAAACATATGACGTTATCCCCCAAACTCTCAGGACAAGGATGTAACATCAAAAACAAACCCCCCCAAATCCTCTTGGCTCTGGAGAACTAACCGATGCTCCTTCTACACTGGGGGAGAAAACACAGTTCTGTGGTCAGTAACATCTGAATGCTGTTGGGTGAGGTAACCCTGGGGTTGCCATGGAAACGTGCCTGTATCAGGAAACCTCACTGAGTTGCATCTCATCTGCAGCTGGGGGCCTGGACATCGAGGGAAGAAAGTCATGCCCCAGAGGGAGACACACCCCGAAGGGGAACAAAGCCATGGCACCAGGGAGACTCCAGATCCTTTCTGTCTGCCGACCTCGAAGTCCCACTCGCGCATGAGGAGACCGGTCCCGGGGCAGCCAGCGAAGGTAAGCCGGAGACGGGGTAAAGCAGGGTGTGTGCGGAACCTGGGCGCCCGAGACTCCTCCCACTGGCGCACAAAGCCAGGGAGGCATCGGCTTTGACGTGGAAGCTGGCTGTCGCTGCCAGCGTTCTGGGTTCTCAGAAGAGGAGACGTTTCTGTTGCCAAATAGACTAGAAAGTGCTCTTGACAGTAATACTCGGCTGGCTTAGAGGGCTCTGAATTCTGCTGGAATAAGCTTCATGAGCAGTCAGGCCGTGATGCTAAACCACGAACGTGACAGGACTCTGCATGGCTGTTTTTCACCGGGAGCAATATTTATGGTGACCCAGGACAGGTGCCTATGCCGTTTTAGATGAAATCAGGCTCCCGTTCTGAAGGGCTTTCTCTCTAAGGACCAGCTCGTGTCCAGAAGAGGATGGACCAGTCTCTGACAAGTGATGTCTCATGGTTAGTGTATCTGTTTCTAATAAGCCAAGTTTTATAGTCTGTCAGTGAACTGACTGCAAAGTTATAAAAGTTGATCTCATAAAAGAGAAACATGAGTGGTTGACACATTGTATCTGTGTCATTCTGTGCTCTGGCAGCTGGGCTGGCCCTCATTTATAGCAAAGGAGGTGACATAAAAGCAGAATAATCAGATTTCAACTCTAACGGGGATTTCTCTACCCCGTGGGGCTCTGGAGGGCTAGGACTATTGTGTGAATTCTGGTTTCCAGGGAAATCTATTTTCTGTGTCACTGCTGAGATGTACTTGGTAAATTCCAAAAGGACTAAGGCAGGATGGAAACGCTTCTGGCTTCTTTAACAACTGGAGTGAGGACTGATAACATATTTGCAGAATAATAACTCAAGAAATAGACTCAAACTGACACTCTTTAAGTTTTCAAGACTCTCCCTAATCTCAGCATCTTTCTGAAAATATGATGGATTCAATTTTTACTTTATGACGTGTCTGGTTGTTAGGAGAGGTAGAGAAAGAATAGTTCTTCTTAAGAACAACTTCAGTCCTGAACGTCCACCCCGCTGGGGTCTGATCCTGCTTTGCCACCTGACCAAGACGTACTTCTTTCCCTGGATGCTCTACTTCTTTGCAAAATTTTATTCCAAGCAAAGTTCTCACCAGGGATGCAGGGAGAGGCTCACCCATCATGTGATGCAGGACAGCCCACCTATCACCTGATGCAGGACAGACCACCCATCACTTGCTGCAGGGACAGAATCATTCAAAACCTTCAAAGAAAAAGAATTATTTGTAAACTTACACATGAATGGGAAGGTCATCAGGACCTGAGGCTGCTCCAGGGACCTGTCTTCTCTCTTTCTTTGTTAGTTTTTATCTTCATAAACCTTTTTCCACTCTCTACCAGCTTGGAATCACCCTCAGCTCCCAATGGCCAATTTGAACCTGGCTATGGATGCCCCAGCTTTGACTTAACCTCAATATGCCCTTCATTTCACCTCTGCCACTAAGGCCTCAGTCCCCCAGCTCACCTTTTCAGGCCACTGCACAGCTTTGGAGCCCATAGACCGGCTCCCGCAGGTCCTTTGCTTGCCGCTCGGGCCCGGGTCGTGAGGGCACTGCAGGAACAAGAGGGTTGTGTTGCCGCGGCCGCCAGGCGTGTAGTGGAGCGTGTTCTCCGAGAGGGGCTGTGCCCTATAAATAAAGACCAACCTCTTAATAGGCCATTGGCCACCATCCCAGATCTTAAAGACATTGCTCCATCCTTCCACGACTCAGCTCCGGCTCTCTTTCCAAGCTTCCTTCTAGCCCAGACAAAGCACTGGCCTGTCCTGTGGTCCCTCAGCTGCCTTGCCTCTGTGGGTTTTCTCCACTTATGGGAAATCTGCTCTCTTCTCCAGCCCCAGCCATTTCTCAAGGCCCGTCCTTTCTGTAAAGCCTTCTCTGATCCTTACAGGGAAAAAAAGAAAGAAAGAAAAAAGCTGCCCATCCCTGCAGCCCCGCTAAGCCTGTCTCGTCGCAGTGCTGCGATGGAGCTTCCCAGCGGAAGGGGAGTCTATCTCTCCGTCCCTTGAAGCTTGGGCTCGAGCAGGTGGCTTGTTTTGGCTGATGGAATATTAGCCAATATGACATGTGGAGGGGCTTGAAAGGGGCTTGTGTGTCAGGGTGTGCTCTCTCTCTCACTGATCGGAACCTTTTTTTCCACCAGGAGAGTGAGGCTGGATCACACCTGGAGGCTGAGAGGTCCCCTCCATCCTTGCCATCCCAGACGGGTGAGTGAGGCCCCCCCAGATCACCCAGCACTGCTGAGCCAGCCCCGCTGAGCCAGCCCCAGACCGAGCTGCCTGGCCCACCCAAGCCCTGTGGGAGATGGTAGGTGGGTGTCCTCTGAGCCACTACGTTTTGGCGAGGTGGTTACGTAGTGAAAACCACGTGAGGCATGCCCTCCGCGCTCCCTCATGTTGGGGTCTCTCCTTTTCTGAATCCCCGTAGTACTTTGTCAGTGTCTTTCATTAGACATTTGTCGCTTTCTACATTTTCTCATCATCATTTACGGAAATACTTCCCATCAGTGGGAGAATAAACTGCTTGAGGGCTGAATTCATGCTTAGCTGTCTTTGCTTTTGGCCCAGCTTCCACTCCCACAGCATTTCTTTAAACCCTGGCATGGAGCGAACACCCAAATGTGGTAGTGGGGTGAATCGGTGAAGGAGGGGCGACAGGGTGCAATGAGGAAGAACACGGATTTTGGAATTCCTGGGTCAAAACCCCAGTTCTTCCACTTACGATGTCTTCCCGGGAAAGTTATTAAGCTGTTTTATTTTACCTCAGTTTCTTCATCTGTAAAATGGGGACAACAGCAGAACCCACCTCATGAAGTTGTTCTAAGGATGAAATGAGGTGACATAAGCCATCAGTGCTGCCTCTAGTCTGGTGCGCCAAGGCCACACTCACTGGCAGCGCCATTCCCCACTTCCACCAAATGTCATCTTATCAAAAAGAATTAATCAATCAATAAATTCAATTTAAAAACTTGAGATGTAATTGACATATGACACTGAGGAAGTTTAAGGTGCACAGCGTGTTGGTTTGATGCACTTACATATTGTAGCATGACTGTCACTGTAGCCACCAGGCTTGAATCTCATCTACCGAGTAACGGATCTGACTGACAATCAGCGAGGCCAGTGAGTCAGACTGAACAGAGGTGGCTGGACTCTCCACAGCTCGTCCCCTGCTTTGGAGCGGAGGGAAATTTAAAAGGAGAGGGTTGTTAAAAGCACAGCTTTGGAGCCATTTGGACCAAGGTATGAGTCCTCGCTCTGTCTCTCTCTCCTCGGGGGCCCTGGGGAGACTGCCTACCTCTCTGCGTCCCCATTTCTCCACCTGCAGCAGGTGAATGACGGTCACTCCTCCTCCACGTCCTCCTGCTGTTTCTGCTGCTCCTCTCTGCATGGCAGTGGCTGCGCGGTCTGGCCTGAAGGAGGCACTTATGCCGGTGTATCGGCCCAAGCGACCATTTTCAATTCAACTAATTAAGGACTGCCTGGAAGCACCGGCCTCGTCTCCTGTAACCTTCGTTTTGCAGTGGCTGTTGAGTTCCTCCTCTATAGACGGTGGCCATCTGCACAGCCAGGAAACGCCTCCTCCGCCCTGGACGGCCGCACCGACCGTCGACCGTCAAAGGGAACGTAAGAGAGTGGTGTTTGAGAACGCAGCTGCTCTGGACTCTCGATTTAACCTCCCAAATATCTTTAAATCCGTCCGTCCCTACAGCTCCCGCCCCAGCCCGAGCTCCTGTCCTCTCTTACCTAGACAGCTGCCGTTGCTTCCTTCTTACTTGCGATTCGCTGAGAAAGCAGAGCCCACGAGCACTTCTGCGCTGGCTGTTAACTTAGGAGTAACCCCCAAATCAGGAGTGGGGGCAGGCAGAGTGGGAGAAGAGGGAAAGTCAACCGAGAGCGTGTAAGTGAGGTCACCGCCGTGGGAACCTCGCACCCGCCTGGGGCCGTCTGAAGGGTGCACCCTGGTTGCCCAGGGGGGGGCCTTTGCCATTGGCTCCCGTTCCCACTGGCCGAGGGCTGCTCCTGGAAGCGTGGACTCCCCTGCACTTCAGATCATTCCCACATGCGCACCGGCAACTTCCCCGGCACCGGTGTCATTCGAGAAGCCCTGGGGGAGGACGCACTTGAGGCTGGGCCGTTGTATGAGGCCACTGAAGCCCACGTGGGAGTGTCCACCATGGCCATGGCTGTGGCCCAGCTCAAAGGGGATGCCAAGCAGGTGTGGGGCAGACCCCCAAGTCTTCTAGTAGTCTCCTAACTGCCCTACCCTCACCGGTGCCGGTGCCTCGCTCCTCCTACACCGCAGCTACAAGTGACTATGTTTTCAAAATGTAAAATGGATCTGTTGCTTATACCCACCCTCACAACTGTCAGGGCTAAAATCAGTTCTGTGGATAAAGATCACAGTCCTGAGATGGCCCAGGACGCCTTGCACCAGCCTTTGCTACCTCTGCCCATGGCTTCTGCGTCTTCTCCTCCCACCCCCCACCTCACTCCCTGTAAATGGGCCACTCTGCCTGCTTGTCATCTCATCAAAAGTGCTGTGCACACGCTGACCACAGGGCCTTTGCACAGGCAATCCCTTCTTTCACTAGCAACCCCCTATTTGTCCTTCGCCTCTCAGCTCAAGCACCACTTCCACAGAGGAGTCTTTTAAACCTCATCTCTGGGACGGGCCAGGGTCCCTTGCCAAGCCTGTTAGACCCACATGGTCTCCTTGCAGAGGAACTAGTGTCAGCACTTACCCAGTGTGTGTGTGGGGGGGGTTGTAGTTGGAGGGCCAGTCTGGGAGGGTGACCGACTTCTTGCGGCACAGCCTTTGGGACCTTTTGGGACCTTTGGGACCTTTGGG